AATAAAGAATCTATTACAAAATCTTGATAATAATAAAAATTACAATAATTTGCTACTTTTTTTATTATACATAAATAGATACAATATTAAATGAATTTATGTAATGTCTTTAAGAAGTTACATGTTACAAATCTTCTCTTACGATCAATACAAAAATTAATTGCCGAAAAAAGGAGTAGAATTGTGCCTTTATTCCGCCCATCTCCTCAATTATGATATTTTATAAATCCGATGTTATTCAAAATAACATTTAGTTGTACTTATATTTATATTTTGCTTTAAAGATAATGATATATTAAATTTATTTTTATTCGTTGAGCAAAAAGATTCTTGATGAAGACATTCATCAGATGCGTTCTTCTTGGTAATGCAAACTACACATTATCCGTATTATCCTCATTATCTTTAATATCCTGGAGCACCCACAGCCCTTTTTTGCGTGTCTTATTAGCTTAACGTCTGATCCCTTCTTACTATAAACGCAAGAAGTAATTGATAAATTTTGCTATTACAATCATTAATAATGTATTGCAAAATGAAGTATAATTTAAACAATTTATCAAAGTTTTAATTTTCTACAGTGCTATATAATAAAGATGTGAATTTTATTTAAATAAAATTTTAGAAATTTTGTATAATAGGTATACACACACTTTTTAGGGTATCATTTTATAATATGAATCTATTTAGGTATTCGATAATCAAACTACGCAAAGCTCATTTATAAAATTAAGATAAATAGTTAAAAATTGTGCATATGCTTTTCATTTGTGATTACAGGGTGATACAGGAGCATACAGAAGTAGATCTGGCGTCAGCATACTCGGTAGAAATGCTTCCGGTGGAAGTAACCTACCAAGCTGTAGAAGCAGTTATTCTGGAATCGGATCGAGTTCTACTCGAACTGTTGCCAAGGAACGGGCGCTTGCTGGTTTTGGAGGTACTTTTCTTAAAAAGGATAAATTCGAGGAGAAACCAGTATTCAAATATTCATGTAAGATATTTATGTATTTACAATATTTTGTATTTGTCATCTCATTTGTCTATATTACTTGTATATTATTTATATGATCAAAAAATATATGTATATAACATTTATATTTAAAAATTTATATTTAATTTTGTATC